CCGCCGGGAGCCGTGGGCCAGATCCCGCACCCGCTGGGCTGGCTCGTGCCGCAGTAAGGATGGGCTCGACCCTGGGCTGGGGGCTCGCTCCCACCTCCGTGGCCCTGTCCCCGGGCAGGTCCCGTGAGCCCCACGTCCCCCTGAACCTCACGTCCCCCTGAGACCCTCCGCCTCTTCCCACTGTATCCGCTTTTTCCATGGTGAGCTTGGTGGGATGCCAAGAGCTCCAGGAGTTGGGAAGGGAGGGGCTCCCCACCACTCTAAGTTTTGGGAATCGGTGGGATGGAGATTGGCCCGGGAGCGGTCCGAGGGCCCCCGTGAATTGAGGAGGGATATTTTTTCCACTAAAGCTTGTGCGTTTGCAGGCAAGGACAGCCCGTGTACTCCATCCCTCCCGGCGGCTTTCGGCACCCCTACCCTGCCCTTGCCATGAACGCCTCCATGTCCAGGTGGGTCTCGGCAGGGACGAGGGACCCTCCTTGGGCGTCCCGGAGCTGGCAGCGGGTTTTTGGCTGCTTCCTTGAGGACAATGCGGGGCTCGGCCCCGCAGCAGTGTTGGCAGTGGGTGCTCCCGGGGACACTCCGCTCCGTACGGGCACAGACCAGCCCCAGGAGGTTGCGGTGACCTCCTCAGCCAAAAATACCCCTGGGAGGGTGCAGATGGTGCCCACAGGTGATTCTGTGGGGGAAAAGCAACGTCCCATGGGCTCAGGGCATCGCTTAGGTTGGGTCCATGTTACTGTCCTGCAAGCTGGGGCAGGATACAGTATAAAACCAGACCCCGGCTGGGTTGGGGCTGGTGGTCTCTTAACCCAGGAGGTTCTCAGGAGAGTTTGGGGTGGAAGCCAGGGGCTGTTGGCGCCCGTGGGGAGCTGATGAGCTCTCCTCTCCCACTCCCTCCACTGCAGTTTGATGTCCAGCCGTTTCTCCCCGCACATGGTCCCACCACCCACCCACGGGCTGCACCCCTCGGGCATCCCACACCCGACCATCGTCTCGCCCATTGTGAAGCAGGAACCCACCCAGCCCAGCGTCAGCCCCGGAGGCAACTCGTGAGTCGGGGACGGGAAGGGACGGCCCCGGGGATGGGAGCTTGTCTCAGCAGGTCCTGACCCACCATCCTGCTTGTTGCAGGAAATCCCCTGTCACTGTGAAGAAGGAGGAGGAGAAGAAACCCCATATCAAGAAGCCGCTCAACGCCTTCATGTTGTACATGAAGGAGATGAGGGCCAAGGTGGTGGCGGAGTGCACGCTGAAGGAGAGCGCTGCCATCAACCAGATCCTGGGCAGACGGGTACGGGCATCTCCCTTGGCACCGGCGAGTTCTGCCTGGCAGCTTCATGCCCACGTGGTGCCCGTTTGTGACCGTAAACTGGCTTTCAGCCCCTTTTACTCCACCTCTCCCCATGGCTCGGCCCCTTGACCTGGGGCATCACCAGCCCAGGAGGTCCCAGGGAGCTGGTGGTGACCTGGGTGGCAATGGGATGGGGCTGGCTGGGAGGTCCTTGGGGCCAGCAGTGTGTCCTTGGGGTCTGCAGCATGGCTTTGGGGTCTGCAGCGTGGCTTTGGGGTCTGCAGCGTGGCTTTGAGGTTTCCAGCATGGCTTTGAGGTGACCAGCGTGGCTTTGAGGTGACCAGCGTGGCTTTGGGGTTTGCAGCATCACTCGGGGGTTCACAGCGGCGCTGTGGGGTCTGCAGCGTGGCTTTGGGGTCTGCAGTGTGGCTTTGGGGTCTGCAGCGTGGCTTTGGGGTCTGCAGTGTGGCTTTGAGGTTTCCAGCATGGCTTTGAGGTTACCAGCATGGCTTTGGGGTTTGCAGCATTACTCGGGGGTTCACAGCGGCGCTGGGGGGTCCAGCGTGGCTTTGGGGTCTG